GGACGCTTAACCGACTGCGCCACCCAGGCGCCCCTCGTTTTCTTTTAACTATACCCCCACTGAATTCTTTCTCCTTCGTCCAAACCCTTTCGGTCTTCGGCTTCGGTTTAATTTTCCTGCCCACATCGGAAAGCGATATCCTTGATACCAAGCTGAGAACCAGAATATATACACATATATCCCTAAATCTGTCCATTCATTCTCCTTTTACGTGGCATATTCCCCTTAAAATGGGTCCTTGGAAAAGGGTGGCGGGTTGGAGACAAGTACGGCGGCGCCTGGCACTTTGTGAGCATTCGGTGGGTGTGTCATGACTGTGACTGGACCGTGTGCAGTGGCGGGGAGTGTGTGCTCCAGGCAGCGTCCCGGTCCCATGTAATGTGACTGTGGACAGGTGGTTTAACCTTGCTGTGCCTTCCTCATTAAAAATAACAAAAATCCCTATCCTCTGTAAAGCCGAGTAATTCCGACAGTACTTGGCCATGTTAAGCGCTCAAATTACCGCCTTCGGGTATTTTTAGACCCGGTAATCTAGGGAATTTGGTGAGCGGTGGATCAGTTCTGCCTGCCAGTCCTCCCAGCTGGGGCTCAAGTTGAGGGGTGCTCTTTCTGCATAGTGTGCGCCCTAGCACGCTGTTCGGGCAGAACCGTTTAAGACGGGCTCTCCAGTCGCTGTCCTCGCCGCTCGTGGCTTGGAGATCACTGTCGGTCAGTACTCGACCCTGGTCTTCCACGAGCTCTTCGCATGGCCTTTGTCCCACTCTGCGTGGTGTTCGTTTTGTGGGTGACAACCCACCGCCCCGGGCATTGGCTCTGTCGTACCCTTGTTTCCCTTAACGGCGCCTGGCTCAGTGCCTCAGCTGGGGTCAGGGCTGGGGCGCAGTCAACAGGACATGAAGGAATCTCGAAAACGGGACTCATTGACAGGCGCAGATAACTCTCATTGTGAGTTTCTGAAAACTGGGTTCTTGTAGTGCAAGTTTAAAAACGTTCCCCTTATTTTTGGAGCCATTTTATTGTTAGCAAAACCTGAAGTCGACCAGTCTCGTGAGGTGTGAGGATGCTCAAAGCTAAGGATGAACTACTTTCATCCTTCTCTCTCACTGGAGTGCTCGCGAAGTTACGCTGCCGATAGTTCCAAAACTGATACGGTCTTGGGGCTTGCGGTACGTCACTAATTCTTCTTTGCGGGGAGCTGTAGAAACCCCTGTGCTTCCAAGAATCAGATGAATTAGTTTAATGAACAGAAGACTCCTAACGTGGACATGTTTTTGTACAGTCTGGGGAGGAGGTCTCTCAGCTGGATTGAGAGACGCACTCCAGCCTAAGCCGAGAATTCAGTGTGGTGTCTGACTGCTTCCTCCATGTGCTGCTGCCTCTGAAATCGAGGAGATTAGATTTGTTTGTCTGATAATGTGAAACCCCTACTTTGGTTCCCGCTGCTGCCACCCTAGATGCTTCTGAGATCAGCTCTGCCGCCAACGGATGGGCACAGCTGTCAGCTGGGCAAGGCAGGTGCAGTGACGGGGGCAGGGCGGAACAAACTTTTCTGTGGCGGGACAGGGTGTACGGCTAAGAAATGGAACTTAGAATTTACATTTGCAATTGTGTTGATTGCCAGATGACAAAGAAAATTAAAAAACTGGAAAAAGAAACAATAATATGGCGTACCAAATGGGAAAACAACAACAAAGCGCTTCTGCAAATGGCTGAAGAGGTGAGGTGGTTTCCCGTGAGTAAGGTGTGTTTGTAGTCATGGGGACTCGTGGAGCTCAGGCCCTAACAGGGCAGGGGGCGTGTGGGGACACCACGGCCGGAGTCAAGGGCTCTGGCCAGAACCGGGGGCGGGGGGACGGCTTCGCAAAATCTGCAAGTGTCTTTCGGGGTTGTAGGTGGGGGGCCCCGAGGGAGGCCTTAACAGATTTCCTACTACCCACTCAGTCGGTCCAGGCTTCTGCTGGAGATCGCCAGAAGGCATGTGGATTTCGCTTTCTTCTACGGGAGTCAGTTCTCACACTGGAACTTGCCTCAGATTCCAGCTTGTTAACAAGCTTGGTCTTAAGACCAAGATGGCTAGGTTCCACCCAGAGTTCGGTTCACTAGCTTGAGGAATCAGCCTTTCGAACCAGTCTCCTGGGGCTGCCGGTGCAGGGCCCACCTCCAGAAGCACCGATTGGATCTCCTGGTGCAGGAGTGGAGTACAGAGAACAACTCCAGTGCCTTTCTTTCTGCTTTTTTTCCAGCCTTGAATCTTGTTCTCATCTAACAAAAGAAATGTATGTAGAAATGAGTCGTTTTCTGTTTTTAATCAGGCCCTTAACTTTTTTTATCTTTAGCTTTGTGAGGAGTATCTTGAATTCCCTTAATTGTTGATCGCTACAAAATGTTTTTTTAAATTTTTTCAGTGTTTATTTTTGAGAGACAGAGCGTGAGCGGGGGAGGGGCAGAGAGAGAGAGAGGGAGAGAGAGAGAGGGGGAGACACAGAATCCGAAACGGGCTCCGGGCTCCGAGTTGTCAGCACAGAGCCGGCCACAGGGCTCAAACTCGGGAACAGCAAGATCACGACCGGAGCCGAAGCCTGATGCTCAACTGACTGAGCTACACCAGGCGCCCCGCAAAATGTTGTAAAAAGTGGATTTTGGATATTTCGGGACCCTAGGATAACGTTAACCGTGTTAAATACATTTGGTGCCTGTAGCTAGGTATGTAGTGAAGCTGGCTAGACAGTTAGGTGGTGCTTGAGGAAATGGAGCCCGTTCAAGAGGGGGATTAAACAAGTAGTTTCTGACGGGACTCCGATTTGTTCACATTTTGTATCCCGTAAACTGTACTCCACGAGGTCACAGGAATCATTTTTCCTTACAGAAAACTGTCCGTGATAAAGAGTACAAGGCCTTTCAGATAAAACTGGACCGGTTAGAGAAGCTGTGCAGGGCTCTTCAAACGGAACGGAACGAGCTCAACGAGAAGGTGGAAGTCTTGAAGGAGCAGGTCTCGGGGAGGGCTGCAGGTGCGGACCTAGCACTGCCTGGGACGCAGCCCTGCACTGCCCCGGTGTCCCCCAAGGAGCCGAACACTGCTTCCGAAAGCGCCCCGGGAGTCTCCCCGGAGGCCGCGCCCAAGGCGGCGAAGGAGAGAACGGCCGTGTCCGCCGGGCCAGGTATCGAGTCCGTCGACTGAAATGAAGTATGATCACTGTATCGAGAGCTATATTTTGTGTATAACTTTCTGTTAGTAGTAACTATTGGTTTTGTGGTGAAAATTTTCTTACTTTTTCTACCATATCTGTATTTTCTTAGAACTACTGGACTTACGTGGTACAGGAGGCTGCTTAGCAGTTTTGAATAGTTTTCCTTCGATACGTTTTCCTCAGCCGTGTTGCACATCTGCCTCATTTCCCTCCATTGGAACGCATGTGACCATTGCTTTGTCCTATCTTCCCTATTCCTTGCACAGAATTATTCTCCTTTCACTCGAGATGGGACCGATCATTACAGGGGAACTTTGTTCTGATAATGGTTCCTTGGTGTGAAAACCATATTCATTTCAACATCCCGGCCCCCCGATTAATATTACTCAAAAAGAAATCAAGATGATTAGCTTTGTCTTAACGATCCATTTAAATGCCAAGTAAAAATAAAGTAGGGTTGGGTCAGAAACCAGCATAGCATCTTTGATTCAGATTAGCTTTTTGATAATATTTATATCACTTGACAAATTGACATGGCTGCAAGCCTCAAATTATTCAAAGTTTCGGCAGATTATGTACATAAAGGTGTCACTTTTAAAATAGTATATATAGGCAAATCATCGGACAAACAGGCTTAATCTTGTGACTAAAAACAATCCTACTGCTTCGGTTTCGGGTTAGAACTAGAACCAGTGTTTGAACTTGGACCACCTAGACACTTGGACCGCCGTGGAATATGGTCGTTTGTTGGCTTTGTTTGGGATTTGGGTGCACATCCTCCACTTCCCGCAGAAAGCAGCCACTGGTGGTTGTCATTTTAAGCCGGGGAGGGTTCAATTCGCGTGTAGCTTTCATCAAGCGGAAGTCCCTCCTCTGCTGCCTTCTGGCTACTTGAAATTTGGTGTTCAGCTAGTTGCGTGAATCCCAACAGCAGTTCTTCAGGTTTTTAAAAAGGGAATTTTAATTGTGGATCACGCTAACCGAAACATTTTATTTCCAAAACAGAAAAGACTGGAACTCACATTTTTAACTGTGGGAAGACTTGGCAGAGAGTTTTAAGTAGTCAGGATCCATTACTTAGGCTCTTGGTGTGTGGCTCTACCACCCCCTTTTCTTACTGTCTTTTAAGAGAAAAGCCAGTATTAATTAATCTAGGTCTCTGCAATTGGCTTGGACTGGGGGAACTTGCCCTCTGAAGCATGTCACTTCTGAATTTGTTCGGCTTTCCTTTGTTCTTAGTCATGTTGAGTGTGGCTGAGTTATGCAAATGAGAGGTCAGGTTGCACCATGAAAGCTTGGACTTTGATTTGCATTGAAAATACTTTATGAAATAAAAAGGCTCTACTAGAATGGATGCTCTAGCACATTCCACTGAGCACAACTATCAAACTGAAATTGCTCACTGGACTGAATGAAGTTTGTTCTGTCTAGTTAAAAAGGTTTTCTCTTTAAAATTGTAAAGTCCTGTCACAGTCCTAGTCTAAACTGGGTTCAGAGAATCGAAAGTTGTCTAAAGGAAACTTCCACCCTCGGTCATATGAAATCGAGGGGTCAGACAGTGGAGGAAAAGAAAAGCACAGAGCACATTCTGTCATTACTGTCAAAAGGAGTCGGAAGCAAAAACAAATACCCCTCCTCCGACGGCCTCTTGTTATAAATACTCCTTTCTGCTACTAGATGAAATGTTGGACTCGTTTCCCCTAGAGGAGGTGAAGGTATATATCAAATATAATCTACTTTGAAATTAGTACTAATGATATTTCACAAGAATTCTGCTGGATGTACAGCTCTTACTGTTGAAGCCATTTGTGTAGCTCACCACGTTTCTTTGTGGTGCTTGTCCTGTGTGGAAGATGTAAATCTTGGACCTGTTGCATATTTTCAAGGGCTTTATAAAGCAATGTGATTAACAGTACTTGGCCTGCTGCTTTTGGCTTACTATGTATTTGTAGCTAGATGCGATCACGGTATTTCAGGGAGGTAGATTCTGCTTGGGATGCACTAGGTGTCGCACTAGGTGTCCTTTCAGAATCTTGCCTCCCCCTTACCCTGTGAATCAAAACAAATGGGACCCTCTGAGGAGATCTCCTCCCCACCCCCAAGCTCTCACCTCACCAGCTCAGTGTTGTGGCTTTGTAGTACGCCCTGTGTCCACCATATTCTAGAACACTGTAATGCTCTTAGGCTGGTCCAGAAAAGGTTCAAGTGTCGAATTCACTTCAGTTGCATTTGTTGCACCATCCTGGGATCTTGCTGTGTATTATTTCTAGTGGCGGTAGACTCCAAGGAGTAGAGAATACTTGGATCATGGACCATTTCACCCTCAGACTTGTTAGGAGTACATTTCTTGGTCTTGAGACCAGTGTTTTTTTAGTTATGTATGCAACTGCCTTTATTACACCTGGTTATCACAATTCAATTCTCAGGTGTTGCAGAAAAATCTACCTCTTTCAGACTGTAGATGGAAATAACTGTGAAAAAAAAAGATGCAGAGATCTTCTAGTTTGTGCTAAACACACTGCTTTATTTTTTACAGCCCACGTCTTTCATGAGGATACGAATTGTTCAGAGGCAGTCTTGTTTTGCTTTTCAAAGACATTTTGTAGAGATTTTTCACTAATGTGAATCTGATTTTATCTACTCGATTCTGTATAGATGAAGTAAATATGTATGATAAATTTAACGGCTTCTCTGTATTTTGTTCCCCATGTGTCTAACAATGTGTCTGAGGATTCCAAAGACAGCTGTAGATAGTTGGTTTCTTAGGCCTTGGGAGGGGTGGAGACTGGGTGGAAGCCTCACTTCGTGTGGCAGGCCTCCGTGTGTACCTTAGCTTTGACTCTAGAAAAATCCTAGAAGTTTAGCTGCTGTTGAGCCCTAAAAAAACAAAACGGTGCATTTCTCCAAGCCTTGACTGCTCCTAGAACATGCCAGGGTGTACCTATTTGAACAAGAGAATTAGGTGTAACAGGCAGAGAAGGAACTTTAATTTTTGACAGAGTCAGCATGAGTGGGAGAAGGGCAGAGAGAGAGGGACACACAGAAGCCGAAGCAGGCTCTGAGCTGTCAGCCCAGAGCCCGACATGGGGCTTAAACCCACGGGCTGGGAGATCATGACCTGAGCCAAAGTCAGACGCTTAACCGACTGAGCCACCCAGGTGCCCCAGGAACTACCTAATTTTTGAAGATGAGCAAAAAAGTACTTAAGCACATACATACAGATATAAGAGGGGCCAGCAAACAAGTCAGGTGTAGTAATTATTTTAGACTTAACGGGCCACAAAGTCTTTGTAAAAGTCCATTTTCGTTCTTTTAAACAACCTTGTAAAATTAAGCGTAGGGCGCTGGGTGGTCCAGTTGCTTAAGTGTCCGACTTCGGCTCGGGTCATGATCTCACGGTTGGTGGGTTTGACCCCATGTCGGGCTCTGTGCTGACAGCTTGGAACCTGGAGCCTGCTTCGGATTCTGCGTCTCCCCCTCTCTCTCTCTAAAATAAACATTTAAGAAAAATGAGGTGTAAAAACCATTCCTAGCTGGCAAGTCTTACACAACAGGTTGGGGGGCGAACCTGGGTTTGTCCGCTTTGCTGACCCCTGCCTTGTAAGCAATCAAGCTTTTGTGGGGGAGGGGGTGGGGAGACGTGGAAGATCAGGGTAGTTCTGGGTTTACAAGTCTATCGACCACGAACACACCTACCTTCTCCCTACCTTTGCAGTAGGACATTGTCCACGTACCCTGGAGAGAAAGTCAGTTCAAGGCACATACGTACCAGCTTTCTCACAAGACCGGACACACACATACATACTCTCCTACCCAGGTTCTAAAAGAATAAAACAGACTTTATTTTAAAACTTTATTTCTGCAAAGCCAATCAACAAGTGTTGGAGGGAAAAAGTGTAAAAGTTATTCTTGCATATCTGGGAACAGCAAGCACTTAGTTTGAGAAAACAAGGACTTAAAATAGTTGAATCAAAGGCAGTACCCTGCTACTTGCATTTTAAAACGGTGATGTTCTTTCTTAACATAACTTTCTTCCCTAAAAGCTACAATATGATACAGTACGCAATAGCTCACTTGAAAGTGCTAGAATCAGAAGGTAAAGAACGCCGTATGCCATCCCACTTACATGTCCTACTATACAATGCCTTTTTGGCGCTTGATAAACCAAGCATTCGTGTAGCATTACATTCAATAGAAACGTTTCTTGTACTTTGGGTTTTAAGATCCTTGCCCCTCCAGTTCCGATGTTGTGACATCTGACTCTTCGTCATTGTAAATATTTTCAGCCTGGAGAGGACAACCAAATAAAAGCATAGGTAAAAACGCCTCATCGTTTTTACAAAATTGTCTAAAACAGCATGAGATAATTCTGTCTACGCTTTAGGATTCGCCGGTCAATGGATTTCAGTGTTGGGAATTTTTAGGTGAGAGGTTTTCCCCCCACACTTTAATGAGGACACACTGAGGTGGTGTTCTTATTCACCAGTGTGTAAATCGCACCGCCATACCTAGCTGTCCACGTACTGCTTATTCCTATCGTAACAAGTGTTTTCCAAAAGTATTTCAAGCATCATTTGGATGAAGCAGTAGCCCCGAAGTTAAGAGATTTGGCTGGTTAACAGCGCCTTAGAAAGGTCAGGTACTTAGTACTCCTCACCAGAGAACTCAGTACCCTGCAAATGCTGCCTACTATGACACAGCAGACACCAGACATCCAGCAGTGATGCCAAGAGCCCAGGTGAAGTGGGCAACGGTCGTGCAGAGCGACCAGATGCCGTGTCCACAGCTGTGTGTGTGTGGGGGGGGGGGGTACACACGGGTTTCTCCTGACCTGACAGGTACATAACTGAACTAAAAGACTGTTGTTAAAACGGACAAAAGTCTTTTAAGATTGTTTTCTTTCTGTATTTGGTGTGATATGCACAACTTATAATAGAAATACTTTGACTAAATAGTTTCTTTCTCCTTTTCATTCAGGAAAAATAAACATTTTAGCTCACCATTTGCCATATCTGCATGATGTTATCCTCAGACACCGAGCAAATGACCCAAGGTTCATTGGGGTTCCAACTAAAATCTGAGATCTTGGCGGTGTGTCCTCCATGAATAAACTGTTAACAAGAGTTGAAAAATAAAGCCTTTGTTTCATATCTTAAGTTTCCAGAGCATCAGTCTTGCTACGGAGGTTTAGAGGGAGGGGTTTACAGGCTTAGTAAATCCACCCTCCACTTATTTTGCAAATTTCCAAACCCTCAGAAAAGGTGACAGAATATAACAGTGAATGCCTGGACACCCTCCACCTACATTTCCCAAATACTAATGTTAACACGTGTGTTTCCCTACACAGACACACCTGCTGAACCACCCCTAAATAATTCGCCACACATCACCCA